CATTGATTCTTCCGGGTAACTCATGATGTCATGCGTTTCCCGGAACCAAATGGACCAATCCGTGGAGCCGTTACGTTACGTCCGCGGAGCCGTTACGTTAAGCCCCCGCTGATTGGTCCAAATTGACCAATCCACGGACTTCCTCACACACACATTCAGTGCATGCAGCTCTGCTGATTTCTTCTCCCTGACTGCAGGCTGATAACAGACAGTTGGGATCGCGGCGAAATTCTCTCTGCAGACCCATTCTCACAGCGTTTATCAACCTTTTTCTTACTCAATATCAAGCCACACTTATTGTTTTTACTTCGGCTGTGACTTTGTGTGTGCTCAGGGTGAGTTTGGCTGTGTTTCGCTGTCGCTAAACAAGGAAACCACACCTCCACGGAGCTCAGCGCGATTCACAACGTCCCGACCAATCAGAGCACAATGTGCTCACAGGGAGGGTGGGGGCTGGAGCTATTGGAGCTACAACGAGCCGTTAAAGGCAGAGAGTGAAATTCAGTGAATACACGTAGTTTACAGAGATGCTGTATGAGAAACCAAAGTGATTTTGGAAAATTGCACAATATAAATCTATTCTATTAGACCTCAACAATGGAATTATGATCAGTGGAAATGGCCATGACATGGCACCTTTAATGTGTCTGAGACCTGAGCAAAGAAGAACCATGCTAGGAAGTCAAGCTAAATATCCAGCTTACAGCAAGGGGACCTCAAGAAAGAGGAACAAATAATCACGCTGAGTAATTATGGCCCAGCAAGACACCTGTCTGCACAGTAGGAATTGTATTATTGTGTCTTTACTGAAGATTTCCGACACAAGCGACCAATAATACATGTAAAACTGTGCCACGATTATCTGAGGCCTCCCACATGACTGTACGGAAACTGACCTTGAAAGACCAAAAGAGGAAATCTGAGGGAGGAATAGAGACTGTTTCTTAGAGCTCACTGTGATCTGTCTGTTTTGTGTGCCTAAGCTTCATAGGTCCCTGTGGACTGATGAGGTCACACTTTATTTTCCTCACTGACTCAGTTCCTCATTCTTTTTCTTGTGCAATGCTTTTTGTACTGTCTGACCAACACCACCCTCTCCGCAGTGCGGTTCAAATATCACGTTTCAACTTGCTAAATCAAACCCTTATGGTTTCACAATCAGTCTTTCCATGATTCAGAGCTGCCCTCAAGAACTGAACTGATCAAAAAAACGCTGGGCTATAAATAAACAAAACAAAACAAAATGTAAGAGCTGAGTTATATGACCCATCAATATCAGATCACAACCAGTAATGATTCTTAAGGGCACTTTTTAAAGCATTTAGGGTAAATAGTGTAAAACGATCAGCCTACATGTTTTAAGTGAGATTCAAACAACTCAGTCCAATAAAATGACAGTATATCGATATTGTGATATGAGACTAGATATTACGGTAAATGTCATAGTATGCAGGTTTCTTTTTGAAAAATACAGTATGAGGGCAATACTATGGCGCTGATCTTGTATATATATATATCAATTCTCGCGAGCACATGAAGGAAGATTGTATACAAGATGGCGCCACGGACTTAAAAAACAACGCGACATCGGAGCTCTGTAAAAACAAAGCTGTCTATGTCGTCTGGTGCTCTATTTTCATTTTTTTTGAGTAATTATACCGTTTTTGACAAACAGAAACATTGTTTTCTGGCATCACTTCAAAATGTACGGGGCACATTTTCAGCAATTTGGTATGAGGGCGCACGTCAAAAGTAAGAGGTCGCAGAGCCCCCGTTACCCGTTTAGACAAAACCCTGGTCTGGCATAATTGTCTTTTCCTCGTTTAAAGTCTGCATTACAGTAAAGTGATGTTACTCTCTGAACTTATTGTACTGTTCTAGAAGATCATAAAGCAGCAATAATCAACCCTAGAATATGATTGCATCATGGAGGTAGCTAATTTGTTGAAATATATCATTTGATTTGACCAAATACCTTGATAAAGAATCAAAGAGTGGTGTATGTCTTGGACAGAACCATCTCAGATAGTGTGTAGATCGTTCATGTAGAGAGCATTATATCAACAGCCAAATTGTTGATTAGCAAACTTGTAGAATTGAGTACAGTTGCCAGCCAGGGTTATCTATAAAGCTGGTATAATCAACGTTTGATGAGAAACACTTCAAAACACTGTCAAATAAATACTTCATGACAATTGTATAAGATCAAAAGTGACCTTTTTCAAATCTTGCTTTTCATCTGACACAAAAACGATCAATCAGTTTAGCGAATGAGGACAAATAAAACCCTGTAGGACAATAACCAGTTTAAAACAGTAGCCAGATTTATACTGAGATGAATATAATTCTAAATGTATCCGAATGCTCCAAATAGCACCAGTCAACAAGTGCTTGTATCATTAGAAAAACTTCTGGTTAGCAAGAGGAAAGGTTACTGAAAACCCTGCGTGTTCACCTGCAGGGCATTAAGATATTGTTAGAGCCAGTATTTTCATTTGATAAGAAAGGCCACCTCATTTTGACGTCTGTGGTCAACAGACTATTAAAGACTACAACTCCCACTGTGCCTACTCTAAAGTGACAATGATGGGCAACCTGCTAGAAAGACGCCGTCGAGGAACAGTTTTTAACCGTTAAAGTACCCTTTAAGTTAGTAAGTTATATAAGCCTTATCAAGAAGAAAGAATACCTAAGTGGTTTGTTATTTTTATTTGAGTTTTGCTTATTTGTTTTGAATATTGTAAAGGCCTCTTTTCTTTGTAGCACATGTAAAAGTTTGCTATTTTTATTTTAAAAAAGCACATCGTTAATACCATCCAAACCATCGGAGGTCAAGCAACTCTTCAAACTGTAAGTAACACAAATATAAAGGAAGAAAGTCTTTTTAAGGCGTCTAGTGGCTTGATAAATAAACAAGGGAAGAAGCCACGACAGATGTTGTAAAGATAAAGCCTCCTTCGCCCCCACAGAGAAGATTCCATAGCACTGAGTAACATCGGGCCGCAGGTATTAAAGGTGTGGCACACCATATGCGTATGAGTGAAACTGCATCACAGTCAAACAGAAGTGAAACCCGTCACCTGATGGAGGTGGATGAGTATACGTTTGGCCAACGTGGCTCAAATCTTCCTCAATATCGCTCATCACTCATTTCATAACCATACCACAATAGCCTGCTTCTTGCAATTCAATTAATACATGGCTTTTTTGCACCATATCTTAATACATAACTTTTATCACAAAATTGATCTATTGAAGGATGATAAATCATATTGTGGAATGAATGCCTAGGCTCAGCTTTATAAAACCGGTCAATTTGATTTATGTTGACCAAACAAATGAAAAAGGAGTCCTACTCTATCATTCTTAGCTGAGAGAGGTACTTACAATGAAATGTTTTGCAAGAATTTAGTCGAGCTTTACAAATAACTAATCCTGTTCAATCACACATGGGGCGAAGCCTGCGAGCTAGTTCAGGAAGTCAACTGGAGCACCAATGACACATTTACACGTGACGCACCTCGTCCCTCTTACACCCTACCAAACACATTCTCCTAAACATGCCGCTCTATTTAAGCTGCCAGGTCTTCCTGCCTCTGCCTCGCTATGCTGCTGCTGCTGCTGCTGCCACTGCTGTGTTCACTTGCTATTGCTACGTTCATGTTGCTCTGTTTCATGTTGCTGCTGATGCTTGCCTGACACACCACCACCCCAGCTCCACCCCAGCTTCCACCTGTAGGCTCGGGGGGGATAGTTATCTAATCATCACTCAATGTTCTTTGTAAATCTGTGGAGTGATGAGGCCCGAGCCTAGACGCCAAACTCAAACTATATGCTGCTTCTAATAAACATATTAAGAAACACGTGAGTTGTTTGACTGAAGTACACTTTGAATATTGCATTAGCTCTGATCATTTCACTGGCTTTTGAACATCAGCTTTGGAAGAATATTTTGTACAGCACACTTCCCCGAGACACAATGAATCTGAGGAAAAGAGAGTCCTTATCCTGAGAGCCTTGCTTTCTATATCTAAAGACTTTAGGGCTGAATTAAAAATAAAGACAAAAACCGGACTTGACATTTGCTCGCAACAATAAGAGTGTAAACAACCCACAATGCAACACTCTCTGTAGGAGCTGGTTTACAGAGGCACTCTTCTTTCAAAAATAAATATCCGATGTTGTGAACTGGGCCTTTTATAAAGAATGTCTTCTGAGTGGAAGGAAAAGGAAAGCTCTACTTAGCCAACAAACACACAAACATAGGCTACATCTTATCGCTGCTAAATGATTTGTACTCCAAGGACATGCAGAGCTTGGCCAGGGATTTGAGAAAATTCCACTTCTTTCAAAAAGGAACATAAAGCATCAAAACAAGCTTTTTATGGTCACATGTTCTCTACACTAAAACAGACTTACTGTAACATCTATTTACATTTACACCTTTATTGCGATATGTGGCCCGTCCTCCTCTAACAAGTGTACACTGTATGTCAAGAGGTTATGTTTACATGCTTTCACAAAATCTGCCTCTATTTATTAAGAATGTTCCCTATTAGTGGACAAACGTCAGTCGGCTCAAAAAGTCTTAGTCGAGCAATTTTTCATTAGTCTATTATTTGCATAAGTTAAATTAAAATTAAATTAAACTCCTTCTGGGCACTGCATTGTCGCCTCGGGCAGAAAACCCCCTTTGACTTTTTCCTGGAGCTAGTCAAAAGTCATTTATGTCCAAGAGTGGTTTCGTTTTGGGTGTTTGTCTGTTGTGCTGTGTTGTGTTGAGAGAATACATGAACAAAATGGAAGAATCTTTACCAGCATCATTCATCATAGTATATATTTATAAGCCTCATTATTACAGTTTTATTTGATATGTAGCCCAACGTACCAGGATGTCATGTCATAACGTTCTTTCTATGCACTGGAACTAAAGCCATTTCCTGAAGCCAAAAATAAATACAATGAATCATCATAACAGTGCGATGACTAGCCGACTCATTTATTGAACTGAAGACTATTGGTAGGACAATATTTGGTCAAGAGCAGCCCTACTATACTATTTTGATAATCGGAGTGTAAGTAAGTGTATGTTTTGAATAACTTTAATCACGGCCTCATTTGTACTGAGGAACAAACGTACAGGCGTACAGGGTCAGAAACTAGGAGCTGACTACAGTGGATGGTAGAGGCCAAACATCACAAGCAGGTTTCTCTATGCTTCAGGGCAGGAAGTGTGTGTGAGTAAGAGGGATTGTGTTATCCAAAACACATTGCTGGTCTTCTGCTACAACATGAACCATGCAGAATTGTCAGGTGGTGTTCTGCCTTTTGTTCCCAGAGGCAAAACTAAGCGTGGAGAAGAGGTCAGGTATTATACTGCAAATAAAACAATTACACAGAATCTACCAGAAAACTGCAGGTGTACTACAACTATAACTTCAATTAAAACAAGGCTTACAAAAATATATAATTTCTGTTTTAAATGTATTTAAGTTTCACTTTAAAATGCATTTCTGTTGCAATATAATAGTTGCTTGTAATGTTCTTTTGTACAGCACTTTGCAATGCTTAGTGTTGGAATGTGCTGTATAAATCAACCTGCCCTGCTTTGAAATGAAAACAGCATATTCAGCTTTTACATGATCCATAACATGTTGATTGATCTTAGATTGTACCGTTTGAGTGAACTTATTTGTACTACTCATATTGTCTAAAACTGAAGCATGTTAAACCTGTGTTTCTACTTGTAACCATCTAGCATCACAGGAAGCACCGACTTTGCATTTCATTGCACAGAAGCACTTTCTGATTATCTGAGCATTTCAGACAATAAACCAATTCAGCACCTCTAGCTTAAATGTTAGCATGTATCATCTTTCAGTTGTAACCGTAACACATGTAGTACTGTGCGACTCGCTAACAGAAATGCATGTGCCCATCTTTAATTTCGCTAGAAACCGAAAACAACAGGCTAAGACAAGGCCAAAGTGGACGTTCCTTATGTTTAGACCTCCAATACATCAAGTAACGTAATGAAAAGCTAAGAGCTAACGTTAGGCATGTAACACAGTTTAGCTAAGTGTGTTTAAAACCGTGTGTTTTAGAGAAATTAACATGTAGCATTAGCCACCACGGCCACTGCCAAATGAGCTAACAGGTAACGTGTGCGGGATACTCAATGACGAATGTTAAACAGCAAACTAACTTACCTGCGTTGATCTGAAAGCACCAGAGGAGAAAGCAAACGTAGAAAGCAGCAGACATGGTTGATATTCTTCGAGGTATTGACTGTTTTTTGCAGTCCTCCGTCCAGAATCTCCGCCGCTGGATGTGCACCTTCTGCAACTGCCAGCGATTGGACGTGGACTTCCGGTTTCCTTTCAAAATAATATCCAAGTCAAACCAACATAAAGCATCTGTTTTTTTATAATGACTCTTTACTATGTTTTCTTTTTTAATCATCAAACAAGCAATAAAATAAGTCAAAAATAAATATTTGTAACAATACTTTTATCCCACATGCATACATGCCATCCCTAGCAAACATCTTCCGTCTCCCGAGCTTTCTAATTCCTTCTCCAACCTATTCATTTGAGTCTTTGTGTGGGTTTTAAAGATCAGCATACATCATGTATTTGATTTACTCATGAGGCTACCCATTTCTTATTGCAAGAGAAGATGACCTAACACCACCACATAGCCATCGTTCATCTTTTCCATAGGTGTAATAAAGTGATTACATCTCATAAACTCAGCTATACACTTTAGCACTTGGGTGTAGTTTGATCAGATTTTATTGACAGTAGTGTCCCTTTGGCATCTCAAGCAGAAAACTGTCACGACATTCTCTTTTGAATTCCCATGTTGTCACATTTCCATTGTATATGGAAATATGTGACATCATGCCAAAACCAAACGAGGATGACTTGATCAGAGCAGCCTTCATTCGTTATACAAAATGTATTTAGTTGTGGTCTATCCAATCCCTTATCCAGAAAAGTGTTTGAACAAACAGACCACATTGACACCCACAAACAACCCGCCCTGCAGTAAACCACATTCCTGCAGTGCTGCAGGAATGTTAAAGAGTCAATGGAGCTTCAGCAGTGTGTCACCAACACCCTGACTGAATGATGACTGCACAGCCTCAGGTGTAGCTCCTCCTGCAGGCTTGCATGCACAGGCGTGCCTTAGTTCAACAGTTTTTTCTATTTTTTGTTTTTGAATTGATTAACTCTGATGAGCTTTAACCCTCCTGTTGTCTTCGGGTCAAATCTGACCGATTTAATACTTTCATCAATCATAACTTTTTTGTTTTACATTTGATTGCATTAAGGCTTTATGATATCCTTCACAGTAGACATTTGAACAAACATTGCTGATCACCACTTTCATTGAATTTTGGATGATTTAGTCAACTTTGTAACACCCATGGTGTTCCCGAGCAAAGAAAGAAAGAAAAGGAATTAGTAACCATCCGGATCAGATAAAACACACACACACACACACACACACACACACACACACACACACACACACACACACACACACACACACACACACACACACACACACACACACACACACACACACCCCCCTAAATGCATGCCCAATCCCCCCATGTGAATCACACCTGGCATTCACAATACATGTTCAGTGTCTGTTCTTTGTATATTCACTGCAGTTTTCCATGTATACCAGTAGTCTGATACAATATTTACAGTTTGAAAGGGTGTTCAATGACATTTGGTGATGATTAATGTTTTTTGTGTTAATGTAATAGCAGTTAAAACAGGACCGGTCAAATTTGACCGCAAACACCAAAGTAAGGGGGTAAACGAAGACAATAGGAGGGTTAATACAGCTACATCTCAAATTAGTTGGTGCTGAATTGATAGGGTGTTGTTGTATTTACCACTTTTCCCCTACATATATTGTCCATAATGCATGTGTTAGGAACCTTGACTCAATAGTTAAATGCACAACCCAGAGACAAAAAAAGGTTTGAAAAAAAAAAATCTTTAATTGCAAAAACAAAATCACTCTTTTAGAGGAAATAACAAAATGACAAAAGTAAAGTGCTCACATGGAGGGAAAAAGGCAAAACACTGAATCTCTTAAGCGATGGCTTGGATCTGGCTTCTTGGGACAACGAACAAGACAAACCGACAAATAACAAGGGGAGACAGGACAATAGGGCACAGGTGGAAACAATCAGGGGCGGGGCAGACACTGACGATGGCGGGAAAAAGAACCAAGGCAGGAAGTAAAGGGACCTGGAATGAGACAAGGAGAGTAAAAAATAAAACAGGAAGTGGAACATAAACTAAATTAACATGAACATGACAATCACAAACATGACACAACTTAACATAATTGGTGGGACACTACAGTACCCACCCATCTAGGGCCGACGGCCGACGGCCCAGGCTGTTCAGGGTGACGATCATAGAAGTCACTGATGAGTGTCTTGTCCACAACGAAAGTCGAGGAGACCCAGCAACGCTCCTCAGTGCCGTAACCCTCCCAATCTACCAAGAATTGTCATCCTCGGCCCCGTTTGCAGACCGCCAGAAGTTTCCTGACTGTGTACACCGGGCCGCCTTCAATGATCCGGGTGGTGGAGGGGGCTTGGAGGCGGAAACCAGAGTGCTCTCTCGAACTGGCTTGAGTTTGCTCACATGAAACGTGGGATGGACCCTCAAAGATCTGGGGAGTTTGAGGCGCACAGAGACAGGGTTAATGACTCTTGAAAGTGGGAAAGGACCCACAAACCTCAGTGCCAACTTCTTGGAGTGAATGTGTAGGGGTAGATCCTTGGTGGAGAGCCAGGTTTTCTGGCCCAGCCTGTAGAGGGGGGCCGCACGCAGGTGACGATCCG